GATGAAATTATAATAAGCTTTTCGTTTGAATCTTTTTTCATATTTTGGTAAGCTTCTTTAATTAAATAATTTTTTTTTGCTTTACCCTATTCTCTAATAGCAGCAGAGCGAATTCATCCAACCATTTCTCCAGCCACTTACCTGAGGCCCACGAACCCAGTATTTCTACACTCTCCCGGTAAATCTGAATTCCATTTTAGCCGCTCCCTGCCCTCTGATTCCATCTATCCTCTTAACTCAAGGGAAAACCAATTTGCTCTCCATTCCTTGGCTTGGCATAGCGACCAGCAAGCCACCACCATAGAGCCCAACAGCAGAGATAGAACAAAAATACCTCTTACCGAGCATCAAACTCAGTCCGCCGTGTTAAATTTAGAGACTAGGCCTTCCTCTCTTAACCAATCCTATGACCTGCTGCCCATGACTCAGCCGATCTCCTTGAATGAGACACGGTCCATACAATCTACTGCCATAGATCGACAGAAGGCCTTTTTAATGAAGCCAGCGCATGCCTTTGATTCAGCTGCACAACATGATTTTACACTCGATACTCTCGCTTCTTATCGTTTTGATCCTGATACTCTTTTAGCCATTCCTCTTAATAGCAAAACTTCTGCAAGTAATTCATATAATCCTCATTTAGATGTGTATAATGTTCCGTCCGATGGTACTGGAACTACCCAAGAGTCAATTCAATTGGAACCTGCTGATCTCAAATATAGTCGCTTACTGTTGGTACCGGAAGCATCTGGCGAGATTAAATTTCGCAGCCAGCCAAATGAGCAATGCCTTGGCTCTTTCATTTCGCACTCTGGTAGCTCCTGTTTGTCAAGACGAAACTTTTCATCTGATGTAAATAGCCACTGTGTATTTTGGTCCCCGGCGAAGATGGACAATCCTGATCGACCTACGTCTGCTCCTTTTGGCACTCAGGCTGATGTCAATAATAATGGGCTCCGCCTGACCTGGTCAATTGATGGAAGTCCGGACAGCCAAGAAGACGTTGATTGGGGAGACGGCAATAATATAGAGAAGAATGAGGTCTATGATAGCAAACAAGCTATGCCTAACGAGGTCTCAATTTTAAGAGATAATTGTACGATAAAGGCTAGTTCGACTAACAGGCGTGCCCACATGACTGTTTCCGGGATTGGGTATGAGAATAATGATGATAATAACAATTATGTCAATGAGACTGTCATTACTAATGGTGTAGAAGATCATAGTTTACAGGATGATAAAAGCGAAGACGCAGCGTTTTTATCATAGAGGCGTGTAAAAGATGAGGGGATTGGACTTGCATAATCTAAGCGAAAGATTATGGCATCAGCAAGCTGAGAACTGAGCCTGTACTTATACGTCATCCGGATTTTTATACGTAACATTCACCTACAGTATTTTTGCATGCTCACACTGCGAATGCTTATACCCATTTATAATTCAGGAAAGGAATATTTTAAGGCTAATTTCATAGGAAATTTTAGATTGATACCAATATGGTGGTTTCTAATTTTTAGCAGAAACCATTTATTAACGACATTCATGTAAGCGCTCACGGGCATAAACGCACATGCATACTTGCTCACAACTCAAGAAGTAATTATCTATACTATTCATTCATTTTATCCTCTCAGATGTAATATTGGGTTGCCGCAACCATGCATTCCTTTTCCTTTGCACCATTTGGCTTTGTTTTTATGATGCCAAGGCATACTT